GTCAGCAGGGCCAGCCTCGGGGGCCCTGGGGTGGTCGGCTCCTGGGCCCCCCAGGGGAAGAGGCTGGCCCTGGGCGTACATACCGGGTCGCAGGGGCGGCCGGGCCCCCTGGTGGGCCGGGCCCGGTCGCAGTCGCAACCCCTGCGACCCTGGTATGTACGCCAGTGGCTGCAGTGGTTCTGGGGACTATAGTGTTTCTTTAATGTGAGGTAAATTAGAGATTAGTGCCACGAATAATATACTAGATTGCCTACTTACAACCAGATGAGGATGATGATGATGCAGTCTGGCTCCACTGGTCTGGTGTAGAACAGGCTCTCTGGAGGCTGTTTGTAACTGTGGTCACAAAAATCAATGTTCTGGGAGAACGGGAAGCAGTTCCATTTTTTGGGGGCACTTTACACAGCTCAAGGTCTGGGTACCAGGGTCTACCTTCATGTTCCACCAATGAGTTTGTTCACAGGGGGTGGAGTGTGTAGGGGATGTCCTGATATGTGTGTAAGGAATGCATTGTGTGAATCTGTGTTTGTATGTGTAAGGGCTGCAAGGTGTGTTTCTGTGTATGTACGGGATGCAGTGTGTGTACGGAGTGCATTTAGTGTGTGTAAGGAATGCATTGTGTGTTTCTGTGTGTGTAAGGTTTGAATGATTGTGCGATTGTGTGTGTGTGTGTGATGGATGTCAATCTCTCTCCCTCCCTTGTCACTCTCTTTCTCCCCCTCCCTCCCTTGTCACTCTCTTTCTCCCCCTCCCTACCTTTTCACTCTCTTTCTCCCCCCTCCCTCCCTTGTCACTCTCTTTCTCCCCTCCCTCCCTTGTCACTTTTTCCCTCCCTTCCTCCCTTGTCACTCTCTTTCTCCCCCTCCCTCCCTCCCTTGTCACTCTCTTTCTCCGCCTCCCTCCCTCCCTTGTCACTCTCTTTCTCCCCCCCTCCCTCCTTTTCCTCTCTTTCTCCCCCCCCTCCCTTGTCACTCTCTTTCTCCCCCTCCCTCCTCCCTCTTTCTCCCCCGTCCTCTCTCTCCCCCCCTCCCTCTCTTGTCACTCTCTTTCTCCCCCCCTCCTCCTTGTCACTCTCTTTCTCCCCCTCCCTCCTTATCACTCTCTTTCTCCCCTCCCTCCTTGTCACTCTCTTTCTCCCCCCTCCCTCCTTGTCCTCTCTTTCTCCCCCTTCCCTCCCTTGTCACTCTCTTTCTCCCCCTCCCTCCCTTGCACTCTCTTTCTCCCCCTCCCTCCCTGTCAATTCCTCCCCCCCCCTACCTTTGTTGTAGGAAGTGCACACTGAGTGTTCACTTCCTGTTAGTCCGGCCGGGTACAGGAGACAGATGCTCCCTGTACCCGCGGACCATACAGGGAGGGAGTGACAGGAGGGAGCGACAGGAGGGAGCGACAGGAGGGAGCGCTAAGCGATGAGCGCTCATGGACGCACCACCCGGGCAAACCTGCAGCCGCATGAGGCTCTCTAGAGAGCGCTCGGGCAGCTGCAGCATGGGGGGGGGCGGTGGAGCTGGGGGGGATTTCCCCATAACCTGTCCCCCCCCGCATGATTTGCTGGGGTGGATGCGTCCCCCCCATCCCCCCGGTTCCTACGCCCATTCATTGGAATATAATGTACTGATTAGGAATGCAGACAGGATATATCTCCTCATTCTTGGATGAGTGATTGTTTAGTTTCCCTAGGATTAGTTGACATAGCTCAATGTTAGTGACTGCCGTCAGATGATTTATTTCCACATACAGGTGGCTATCTATAACAAGTGTCTAGTTCACTTTCATATTTGCGAACGTTTGTTTTAATGCGCCATTTTCTTATGAATTCAATTTGCTCCTTCCATTCTCCTGCCTTTTCTGTAATGCTCCAAAATATCGTTCTGTTAGTTTTTTGTGGAGCACCACAACTGGTCCCGCTTTCATGGTCAAGATCTCCTTTAGGAGAGGTTTTGTCTAAGCTGTTGTGTTTTTTTTTTTTTTACTTCCTTCCTAGTTGTGATTACATCTGCCAGGGGGGTAGGAATGATTCAAGCACTTTTACCATGTGTACCATCTTCCATCAGGACAATGTTTTTATTCTCCCTAAACCAGGGGTAGGCAACCTTCGGCATTCCAGATGTTATGGACTACATCCCTCATAATGCTCTTACACCCATAATGCTGGCAAAGCATCATGGGAGGTGTAGCCCAAAACATCCTGAGTGCTGAAGGTTGCCAATGCCTGCCCTAAACCATCATTACTCCCTAAAGTCCTGTCAAAGGCCAATATTAACCAGCCCATCATCCTTCCTTCAATTTGTCAGGCTCCTTCATCCCTTAATGAAGAGAAACTGCATTTTCTAGACATCATAATAACTAGAAATTTGCATCCGCCGTCACCTACCTCAGTTCACCTGTTTGTGAATTTCCATCTCCAGATGATATTTGCACAGCAGCAATGTAATCAACTTTGATACCTTTATTATGCATTATAGGCTAGAACAGTGTTCTCCAACCCAGAACTCATGGACTACCAACAGTCCAGGTTTTATCAGTATTTTCTTTGGAATAAAACAGGGAAATACATAAATCCTGGACTGTTGGTGGTCCATGAACACTGGGTTGGAGAACGTTGGGCTAGACCACTTTCTTCCTAAGGAGCTGCTTTTGGGTGTATTGTACTCCAGGCTGTCGTCTTTTGATTCACCCACTCTATACCATGCGTACAACCACTATATGTTAGGAAAGCCAGAAATGTTACTTACCGTAATTTGTTTCTCCTCTTAATATTGTGGCAGTACAGATTCCTCTCACTGCTTTTTGTATTGGTTGTGTATTTTTGCAGCATTTGGCCTTTGTGTTTCTTGTTGTGATTGAGGAAACTCTGTGTGTATTGTTATTTTAAGGTACGAGTTGGAGTGGTTAATTTGTTTTATGTTTATTTACATAGTTTAAATTAACATTTCTGTTTTCTCAGTATGTGCGTGGAAGATAGTTTAATTTGCCCTTACTTCATTGGGAAAATCCTGAGCAGGAGTTTGCTGTGAGACGAGGCAACTCAAAGCTACCCACGCAACCTCGTCATTTATCACACATCTTGAAATAATATACCCACACAGTTTGTGCAGAAACCAATTTGTAAAAACCATACCAAAGGGATCACTGAAGGTAAACGAGGCCCCAGATAGTTGTCATTGTTAGGCCTGTTTTAATCTATTTTCCATGCAAAGTAGGAGGTGAGTTAAACTCTCATTCCTGAGTTAATTGATCAGGTTTCAGATGTCTAAAACTACACAGGGGAGTTGGTTGGGTCAATACAAACATTTCACTTAGTTGCTAAAAACAAAATTAAACACATTACCTAGTGTATAAAACAGACCCACACTGTGTGATAATGACATTTATTGTAGGGCAATCTGCTATTGATACAGGATGACTCACTCTTGAGTGTCATTGAGTCTCAATCAGATCCCTGGTACTGGAATAGCTGTGACTAGCTGGCATGGCATTCTGGGTACTGTAGTCCCAGGTATATGGAATGCCAAGGGTGCCAGGATTGTAGAACTCTTAAAAACAAACACAAAAACCCACTAGATTTAGGCACTGTAATGTGACCTGTAACTCCACCTAGTATCGGGTATAGAGTAGTCATCATGGCACTGTTTTCTTGGACAGCTGTCATGTAGAATTCAGAGGATGGTGGATCCTGTGGGAGATATTGGATATTAGATAATAGATATTGGAATTCTGTAAACTGTTAGTACCATTTATACATCCCCAATCACTTCTGTAGAGCTTTATAATTTTGAGGTAACTAGTACATTGCTGAAATAAGCTAACAATATCTGAGAATTTGAGGTAGGTGGATACATATTGTTAGGTGTCTTGCCCAGGGGCACATACTGGCAGGGCTGCCATCAGAAATTGTGGGGCCCCTTAACCCGCTCAAGGCCTGTTGCCCCGGAGTCTGCCCACTAGGATGCAGTGTGTGGAGTAGATGTCGTGTATATAGTGGATGCAGAGTGTGCGTGTGGAGTGGATGTAGTGTGTGTAAATATGTTGTGTAAATTTGAGGCTATATTCTTTGGGAACAAAAAAGGAATTTCTATTTATTTTTTACACTTTTTTTCCAATAAATTTAGTTTCATTCCCTCCTTGCTTCTTGCCTGTGGCCAGTGAAGGTGGAGATTAAATTCCCTGGTGGCACGGTGCTGGCTTCCAGGCACTGTATACTGCAGAGGGAGCCCAGCCAGCACATCCCCCTATATACCCCTGCAGAGGGAGTCAGCCTGGACAATGTACAGCTGTATATACCCCTGGTCCAAGTCTGCCAGAGCAGTCCAGGCCCATGACAACCATCATGGTTGTCATGCCCGATGGTAGCCTTGCTTACTGGTGAGGTGGTCTGACCAGGATTTGAACCAGTTCTATTGCAGTGGTGATACCATGATGTTCTAAGTTCTAAGACTTCACGTGCAGCTTTAATCGGGCGGTGCATGGATTAGAATCCGCAGCTAGATGTTTACATCTCTTGCTTGTCTGGATCTCACCGCCCAGCTCTGATTTTGACTCAGTGTCATGTCTCATATTTATCAAGCCAATATGTTTTGTGTCAGTGTGAGAAATGAAAAGCAGAGCGGAAAAAAAACACCTGTCTCTACAAGAAATGAACTGTATATAAATGGTCTGTGATTTCAGTACTTTCCATGGAGTTTCCTCCATGCCTGCCCGAGCCTCTTTGCCACGTCTCCTTTTTTAGCCTTGAGAGCAGGAAGTGTCATTGACACTAAATTAATTTGCGCAATGACAAAGTAGAGGTCAGGGGATGTGGCTGAACTTTGATAAACTCAACAAATTGCGCCTGCTTCCTGCAGATTTAGATAAGCTTAAAGTGAACGTTCAGTTTCATAATGTTCTCTTTTAGCTCCGTATACATTTTTACACTATTTATTTCCAGGGTATTACAGGCTATTAAACCTATAATAATACCTATATGGTGAATTAACCAGTACGGTAGTAAGAGTGGAAAATGATATAGGTGAATTATAACGTGTATAATTATATCGTAAGGCAATCCCCGTAGAATGGGAGCGCTGTGCACATTCTCTAAACTGATGCAATACAGGAATTTATTGAAAAACACGAATTAATGAAGCTACTCGGAGAGTTTAATAGCAGCTGTCGCGTATGTTCTATTAACTTGGCACGTATCTTATTTCATATTATATTTATCCATGATATAAAGGTGTATATTACGACTACATGTACAGCCTCTCCCATAAAAAGTTGTCAGATAGTCTGCATGTTACGGAGACCATAAACATGCGCAAATAGTACAGCTTTTCGTTGTAGTTGGGGTGTCCCTCTACCTGTACTGACGTTACAATCGGTCCTCTGTTCTATTCCAATAGGATAATGCCAAGTGTTAGACTGAGCCTTCAACTAATGATTTGACGCTTTCTGTGCAAAATGAACGGAACAGGAACCCCTTGCAGGTTACATATATCGTTAGATATAGAGGTAAACGTTGGGTGGGGACCTATCTATCGCCCCTGGTGTAATCACATCCTCTATATTTATATTTCCCAGCTCCTCACATGCCTGTGGTGTTGTCACGTCGTTTGTACACCTGAAATGTGACTCGCTCCTTCCTTGTGTGCTGAAAGTTTTGCAATGTTTAATGTTACACTCGGTTCATTTTCAAAGAAGTTTAAACCT